ACAGTTCTGTGACCCTGAGTACAGCTAGCTAACCATGTTGGGGGGGGGATGTGCTGAGCCTGTTTTTTTAAGCGTTCTGTGTCCAACCATGCCTGTGTGGAAAAGCCACAGGAACAATTACCATCCATGCTCAGAACCGTTCAATCCTGCAGTGGAAAAGAGGCCCATGATCAGGTGGACATTGTTGTCCATTTCATTACGTTACATACATACATACATACATACATCATCTAAACCGCTTATCCTTCTGGGTCGCGGTGGGGTGCTGGAGCCTATCCCAGCTGTCATTGGGCGGAAGGCAGGATACACCCTGGACAGGTCGCCAGTCCATCGCAGGGCAGACAGACAGACATACACATTCACACACACACTCACACCTAGGGGCAATTTTAGCACGTCCAATCAGCCTGATTGCATGTCTTTGGACTGTGGGAGGAAACCGGAGTACCTGGAGGAAACCCACGCAGACACGGGGAGAACATGCAAACTCCACACAGAAATGACCCTGGTCTCCCGGCCGGGAATCGAACCCAGGCCATTCTTGCTGTGAGGCGACAGCGCTACCCACTGCGCCACCGTGCCGCCCATTTCATTTCATTACGTTACAAGACATATTTATTTAGCCAGCAAAATGAGTTATCTAACTGAAGTTCAATTTGGGAGGGATTAGTTTTACATGGTGTGGGGAAGTAATGTATTTATTAGGCTACCAAGGTTTCTCAGCTGATTTTAGTCCTGTTCAAATCTGCAATTTCAGTGACTTTTCACAATTTTTATAGTATTTAGTGGGATGTGCTGAAAGTCAGTTCACAACTTCGAGTACCCAGAGTACAAGAAAGACTGTATCAAATCAATTAGCGCTACTGTCGCTGCAGTTTTCTGTGATATGATACAATAGTGGTATCATACAAGGGCCTGTAAGTGTGAACCTGCTCTGCAAATCTCCCTTCAAATTTATTCATTTTCAATAAAGCGCCAATTTACAAAAATTCAAAGGTGCATGACAACATGCCACTTACAATACGTCAAGTATAAACCTAGCTCACAGAGAAAAAGCTAGTCACACAGGTCTTGGTGTGTCTTGGTGTGAGAAGCAGCAACAGGGTGTTTTCATCTTACTTTTGGCTTGTTAATTTGACTTCTCCAGTGTTCAAATGTCAAAACTACAGTGCCCCACTGAGTCATTTCACAACAAAATTTACGAAGCAAACAAAAGCTGAGAACACAACAGCATTAGGGAGAGCGCAAATACAAAAGAGAACACAAATACATGACCAGAAATGAAGCATTTAAAAATGCTGCATTTGTAGAAAAAAAAACAAAAACAAACAAAAAACCTGTAATATTTAGCCAGGACACAACAGCATTAACTGAAACAAAAAACATTTCACACCAGAAATGCTCCCGGCCACTAGAGGTTGGTGAGGTATTTTTCAAAACCTTTTACAAATGCAGCGTTTTTTAAATGAGTAATTTTTGGTAATGTATTTGCATTCTCATATAAACAGAACTTACCTGGGGTAGGCTGATTTTCACTGTTATCAAAGTGTACCATCCTTGTAACAGAGAATAAACATGCAAACATGACAAAACTCTACCCAGTAATTTATAAGAAAATCTAAGGCTGCTGTGTCAATTTAGAAGAAAAAAAAAGTGTGAATGTCTGCATTTCTCTGTTAATCTAACTTTTAATATGGTATTTATTAAAATACTGAAGTGAGTAGAGGGATCATTAAGCTGAAATGAAAGACATTTATCAGAACAGAACAAAAAGTACTTGAATAAAAACTATGCAATATAAAAAGATGGCCCCATTTGTTGTTTGACATAACACTGTCCAGATTCAGTGCCAACAAACTCCCTTCCACAAACTATGAATCAACCTTTCATCATAGTTACACTTAGGTCAATAAAGAGATGTATTCATTTCATACTCAACACTATTTTAAAATGTTTTAAAAATGTGCATAGCAATACAATCACTTACTTTTTATCCTGCAAATCACCGACCCCTGTTGAATTAAAAATAAAACACTTACTGAAATTAAGTGAATTAAAAGCATGCAAAATGAGTTTATTCAGCAGAGGGCATGTGTTCAGATTTTATATCTAATAACATGTAATTTCGTCTAGGTTAATACGTTTATATACTGCTGGGAACTTCAACCCACTTTGAAACAAAATGCTACAATTTTCCCCTTACAAAACTTATCAGATTTAAATTAAATTAAATAGGGAAAAAAAAAAGGACAAACTCACCAACAGCAGTCAAGGTCTGAATGGGAGCCAGTACCGGAGACTCAGTCTTGATGTCTCTAAATATTAGAGTGGTAAATATTCATAAACATTATCGTCTTCCTCCTACTGACTAGTGTGTGAACTGGTATATATATTAACTTACTTCGAAAAGACGTGAACATCATTTGTTGTGGCAAAACTGACTCTTCTTGAATTCCTCCTCTTTTCAATAGGTCTTGATTCCTCCTGGGGTAGTGGAGGGTAAAAGAAACAATGGATCAAGGTTTATTTCTATTCCAGAAAATGTTGTTTTTCATTATATAACATGCAACATACCAGTTCTACCGTAGTCACAGCATAATTACCTGATGTTCATCCTGATCACCTCCAAAAGCTTTCATGGATGTCCGGGGAGCTTTCAGAATCTGGATCAAGCATAAACAGGGTTAGCAATATGGGCATTCTTAAACAGCTTTTATTTTTGTCAAACTCCTACTTAAATTATTTTGTACATAAAAGGCTTGAGCTGCATTTAATTGTATATATTTCATTCTCAATGCAAAATCAAAGTCTTTTAAAGTGCAGTAAAAACTATCAAGAGAAGCATAAGTGAACACCAAGACCCAGTGCACATCTCTTTTCAAAGTTGGAAAAGCAAATGGCTGGATAAAGACTTTTTTTTGGAACAGATTTGATGCTGACATTGGACTGGAAAAAAATCCAGTTCAATATCAATTTACTTATAATTTGGGGAAGAAGCTATTAAAATCATGCCAAACTAAGAAGTTCAAAATGTTCAGATTAAATAAAGCATACTAGTGTGAAAATGTAACAAGTATAAACATCTATTTGATGGAACCCCTCAGACAGAACTATCAGCATCTTGTCCTTGGCTCACAGTCTTTGCAAAAATCTTTGTTTTGGTAACTATCATTACTACTACTACCACTACTACTACGACTACTACTACAACCAGTAATAATAATAGTACTACTACTACTAATAAAATAACTGATAATAATTATAGCAATTTTATACAAACGCTTAAAAGTGCTGATGTGCAGTCATCCACTATTACAATAACTATACATGACAATTACTTTTTGTTACATAATATTTCTTATGACCAACAGTTCTGTTTACCTGTGCAACTTGCATGGAAATGTGCTCCTGCTTTGTTCACAAATCCATGATAAACAGCCAAGCAGCATACTAGATTTTACTTTTTTATTATTATTACAAGCACGTTTTCTTTATTATTTTTTTTTTTACATCTTTGTTAGTATTACAATTTGCAGTTGGTTAATTTGCAGTGTTCAATTTCCTAAGTAACCAAGAACAGTAATGTTGAGCCTTTTGTCCAGTTTGATACTGACAGCCGGTCTTTAATTCACACTAGTTTAAGGTTTGCCATGCTTTGTCCGGTATTGAGAGTAACATTGATTAAAAGCTTGCTCTTTGGCAACAGTCTAGCTAAAATAACAGATTGCTCTGATGGGTGAATAGATGAACATTTAAATAGTCGGGCCATTTCACACTGTCAGTCAGTAGATTGGAGTTGAAAAGCGTTGCTTCATCCCACCCTGGCTGCGGTAGTGTAAATGGACTTTGGAGAAGTAAAAACCTTTTCTCACATTTCTCACCTGTTCACTCTAACAGCCCAAATGACAGTGGTTATTAAAGTGTTTGCCAAATACGTACCGATGAAATTCTCCTTTTAGACAATCCATCTGGGTCATGCCTACAGACAGAAATATCATTGAAATATCTACACATCTTTACCAACACGGACTAGTGCCACGTATCCACATTTAACTTATAAAATACTGCCTTTGGGGCATCACTGGCTAAACAGTATTTCACAAAAAGGGGAACGTCTCTAACAATAATAACAGGTTTATGCTATAGTCATATATGTTTACCCGTATTTTCTTAAACGTTATATCGGTTGATATTAAGTTACACGGACTCTGAATCAGTGTCTTAACAAAACTATCGTTTCACGACTGGTAAACTACATAAGCTAACATACAACAGACCAACAACTTCAAATGACAACTTACCCGAATTTCAGAGGCTCGTTATGCTCCATTATAGAAACAGCAGATTAATGCGTAGCTAGTAAAATAAACAAAGAGAACTGAATTAACGGCACTAAACTATTAAACATTAACTTGATCTAATAACTTCCTAAACTAAAATAGCTAAAACTGTCAATCTCGTTAGTTCACTATGTACATTGCCCTTGTGATCTATTTGTTTATCCGCGCACACAGCTCGTCAATAAATCGCTTGGCTGTTCAGCTAGTTAGCCAGCTAACGCTAACTATCTCGGTATGAAGAGAGTCGACAATTGCAAGTTTATTTCAAACCACGTAGCTGAATATTAAGCTAACAGTCTCATCAGTGAGCAATATGTCATGCGTACTATTTTATACTGTTTCATATACACGAGTTACCAATACAAATTCGTCTTGTTAGGAGGTAATTGTGAATCCGAAATGCGTCTCTTCCTGTCGCCGGTTAACATTTGAACATGTTTTCAGATGTTTGAAATGACCCGCCTTTTCGTTTTTTTTCATCCGCACATGCGCAGTAGGGTTTGGGCGGGATTTACATCCTGGTGTTTAAAACCTAGTGTGATGACTGTTCTCTGGAAGTTCTATCACCGCCACTCTCGTAACGTTATATATACATTGATTCATGTGATCGAAGTACAATTTATTGTAAGCGTTTTAGCAATAAATTAGTTTAACTCCAGCGGGTCTTATCTGGGTACGCTTTTTGCCTGTTATATCACAAACGCGTCTTTCGCTCTGTGCGCATGCTCACGGTACAGTTTTTGACGAGTGCAGTTATTGGCATAACAGCATGAGAGACGTTGTTGACGGAAATGACGCGACATTTTTTGAAACCTCGCGCCGCTGAAGCGCCATTCTTTTGACTGCATAGGAAGGTAGGCTCCACGACATTAGTTAGTTAGCTAGCTAACTGGGTATTTAAGGGAATAAGTTGACTGAAAAGACTGAAAATATTTACTTCTTTTCAGGCAATGCGAGTTCTAACTTTGGTTGTCTTTCGTCGCTACGCTACAGCTTCAGACAACCATTTTATAACCTAGATACGTAGCTAGCACTTAGCTAGCTCGCTGATTTGTTGGGTAACAGCCTCTGTGTGCTCTAACGCGAGTTATCGGGCTGCGTCTGTTTAACTCAAATTAATTAATTTTCAAATTAAACATTGACATGAACGGCTAAAATTTAAGCAAATGTTTTGCTTTACTTAGGTGTTGTGCAGCAATTATGAAGAGAGTGGAAAGAGCTCAAATTAAAGGGACAGCGATTCCCACACTACCAAACGCTGCAGCGAGGAAAGCAAATGTCAAGAGCGACACTGAAATTTTGTCGAGGTGTGAAAGGTTGCGCTGGAAAATATTCTTTCGTCCTTGATCTTTTTAGTGCATTTTAATAAAACTAATGCGGTATGTTATTTATTTTCAGGAAGATCTCAGCAAAAGGTCTCAGAGGGTAAGAAGAGCAAATGGGCCGCCTGTGATTGGCATTTTTACAGAGTATAAAAGTTGCAGCCTAATTCGCTTATTTTTGGTTTCTTTGTAGACCCTCAGTAAAATACGGGCAACATGATCTAAGGGAGCAGAATCGGCTTTTGGTGTCAGCAAACGAAGACTTGCAAAGACAGATTTCAGAAATGAAGGTAGGAAATGTATGGGTGTGTATCCAAAGCCACAGGCAAATTAGTTCTCTACACTAGAGATTTATCCACATTGCCAAAGCCAATTAGATTCCATGGTTAGATTTTATATACTTATCTAACTGTTTAACCTGGGATTTAATTTAGTTGCCACTGCCTGCATTACTATTCACGATTAGCAGTGCCCCACATGTGAATTGTTTTCAGGGTAATATCACATTTTAATTATCGGTCAGGTCAGTAAGGTTTGTATTTTCAAGGAAAAATATGTTTGGGTGTATTTTGAGAATGTATAGAATTCAACAAATTGCATTTACATACATTAAAACATTCAATTCCAGATTCTCTGTTTGGTCCTCATCTGTATTGGACTAACTAGAGAAAATGTTTAAAGCTACAATACTGAGTTGCAGATATTTTTAAAATATGTGTTCTGTTGCTTATCCCTGTGCTAAAATTGAATAGCTCCTCATATTTGCTCAATTCTGCTAAATAACACTGGAGTCAAACTGTCATTTGCCTTTATAATGTGTAACAAAATTTTTTTATATTTTAATGGAACAATATTATAGGCTAATATTTGAAGCAATTAAGTTAATTGTTAAAATACTTTGCCAAAGTATGCAGAACCTACCTTAGGGCTGGGTAAGAAAATCCAATACTTTTATGGTACTGACAGAATTACTTAAATACTACTGAGTGTCAAAAAACTCCCACCTCAGCATTCAGTATTATTATGGTTGTCTGTCTAAATTGTGTTCTGTATGCATGTTAAGAACAGCGCTTCTTGACTAGTCTGCGGTCCATAATGGTCAGTAAATTTATACTACCTCCAGCACCTCACACTCATTTCTGATATAAACCTCAGCCACCTCTGGTTTATTATTTAACAGAAGGTTATGCAAAAAAAAAAAATAATAATAATAATCGTTATCACAGTCAAGGTGTCAGTATTAGTATCACTATTGCTGGTGAAATTTGGTTAAACTAAATAAGTGAAGGTGGTAAACAACTTGTCTGTTAAACTTAAGCAACAAACAGAAATGTAAATTGTAGAATGCCTGTGAAAACTTGGTAGATTACAAAGGTTACTTGTACATCATTTCACTTATAGTTCAACTAAAGTTTAAAGCAACATTTTAATCTTAGTTTTGTATGAGCCTTGTCAGAAAGTTTAGCACTTGTTCAAATGTAATCTATTTGACAATGGTTAGATGTTCATGTGTTTTCTTTTTTAATATATCTTTTGTACTTTCTCTGTAGGAATATGTGGCTGTATTAGAACAACGATGCAGTGATGTTCAGGAAGAAAACAGTGAAATTAATAAAAAGCTCAGAGACTGTCATGCACTTATTATTGCAGAACACATTGATCCAGGTGATTTTTCTTTGTTTATGTTGAGCAACATGTAAGAGCTTTACATTTCCTGACACAATGTTTGAGGACCTTTGTGACTTATTAACCAATAGAATAATATTTTCATTGGTCCTCATGCCAAGTTGACCAAAATAAACACACATGCATATGTATATGCATGTATGTCAAAAGTGGTAGTAATTGTTTTTCGGTATTTAAGGATTTTGACCACAGTGAATCTGAATGAAGTTTGTACATTAAATGTATGTCATTTGTAATCCATTAATATTTGGGGGAAAAAAAAGATTTTTGCAAGATGCTGTTTGATTGATACTTTCCATTTGGAAAAAGTACAGATCCTAGATTCATTCTTAGGCAAACTTCATGGCTAAATCTATATTTTACTGATATTTACTAAGACTGACCAGTAAATGAGCCTGCCTTAGTAAATGAAGAACCTAGAATTATCAAGTGTTTTGGTTTGCCCCATAAAATTGCAGGTTCATAGAGTATTGCTAAATAAATAACTGGTACAGTGGTCTTGCAATGGACTAGTGATGTGCCTAGCAAAGACCGTAAACAATATCCATTACAATCCATATTTCTATGCTAGTCCTATCAGTTAGGTGCTTTGAAATAGTTCTTTTTGCACATAGAATTTTTCAGGATTTCACTTTTTCAAAAGTATTCTGTAATCTTCTAAAGGTTTAGTACTAATTGTGAGTGTGTAAGTTTAGTTCAATATACTAAAACTCAAACCTGGTTTTAGTTTCAGGTGAAAAAACAGAACAGACAGAAGATCAAAGAAAAGAACTCATGGTAATTGTCAGCCTCGTTTTTATATTTTTATTTATTCATTACACTAAATGAACTTATTTCTGAAACAGGCAGACATATCATCTTAATCTAAATTTCTTTGGTAGCATTGGATTTGCAAGAAGTGTTTATAGATGAAAAATTTGGTTTGTGTATCTTTCACAGACAGTTTCCAAAAAATTGATGTCTGAGCTGAAGTTGTTTGATGAAGTTGCAAGAGAGCATGGAACACATTTGGCAGTAAGTTTAAATATTACAGATTTTATGTAGTATTACCTTTTTAAGTAGCGGTGCCCAGCCTCACCCTGGAGTAAACTGGACTCTGATTTTTCAGTCATTCAGTAACTTGATCAGGTGTGCTAGGTTGGGGTTGGAGCTAGGAACCAAGGTTGGGCACCCTTGTTTTAAAGTAATACTTTGTTATAACTGTTTCACTTGTTTGGTTCTAGGAGATGCAGAACACCATGAGAAGCCTTAAAGAAGCTAGAGATACACTTCACCTGAATAGAGAGACATTTTGTGTGGATACTGAACAAATGGAGAGAGCATTAGAAGAGGCTGAAAGACTGCTGTTAGAGTGAAAGACAAGCAGCTGTCTGGAAGCAAACCACTGTAATTCTGTTACTGCTAAGCTTTTGTTATATCTTCAATAAAGAATTATTCAGTATGCTATGTTTAATGAATAATTGTTTTATATTGTATACCGATAGTGGTAGTTACTAATAGTGACTAAATGGTTTTCTCTGTTTTAGGATCTTTTTTTGACCAAAATGAATCTGAACAAACTATGTACATTAAAACGTATGTTATTTGTAATCCATTAAAAATAAAAAAGGACCTTTGCAAGATGCTATTTGTTTGATACTTTTGATATGGAAAAAAGTACAGAATTTTAACAGATTAATTCCTAGGCAAACCTGAGGGCCGAATCTATATTTTATTCACGTTTACTTAGTAAACGAAAAACCTAGAATTATAAAGTATTTTTTGTTTTACCCCAGAAAATTGCAGGTTCATAGTTTTGCTAAATAACTGATAGAGTAGTCTTGCAGTGGACTAGCAATGTGCCTAGCAAATATTACAGCACAATATTCATTAAAATTCAAGTATCTATGTTCGTCCTATCTGTTAGATGCTTCCAAGTAGCGCTTTGCACGTACGTTTTTTTAGGATGTCGCATTTTCAACGGTATGTACAAATATTTTTTTTTTTCTCCTGGTTTGTGATTTTGGCTTTTATTTTGAAAAACGTCAAGTCTCCATGATCTTGCTGTCGCTATGGTGACCGAAATGTTGACATGGCCCAGGTTTACGTCGCTTAACCTTCGTTTGTGTTTGTCCTTATTTGTTTTTAACTTGATTAACTAATGTTATCCAACCAGCTCGTCAGCTTGACGAGCTCGCGACCTGTGGAAAGAATAATTATTCTACCGGGGAGCAAGGTAGGTGTAACATGTCTACAGGACAAATTAAAAGAAAAAACAATGATCTAAGCCTGAATGCTTGGTAGAGGGTTCGGTGGTGTTATGCTATGAGGCATAGTTTGGGTTCAGTTGTCCCCTTGTCTACTGTACATCTTTACTGTAACGGCACTTATCATAATATCGTACTTTAATTTTTAATTTAATTATTAATTTCTTTTAAATTTGTTTCAATCATGTTTTAATTTCCATTCCCCTTTACATTATTTTTTTATACTTTAAGGTTTAATTTGAATCATCTTTATATTTTCTTATTTATAAAACACTTCATACCGCAGGGTATGAAAGGTACTATATTAATAAACTTGCCTTAAAGGGAAGGGTCACTGCAAAGTCCCTTTCAGGTTCTGACTGACCACCTTAATGCTTTGATGAAACATTTCTATGCTGAAATGGAATGGTCTTTTCCAGGAAGACAATGTCCTCATCCATAGGGCAAGAGGGGTCACTGGGTTGACAAGCATAAAAAGTATTTATATTCTATATTCACTAGACTTCAACCCAATCGAACATATACAGAAATTTTTTGAGCAAAATCTTAGGCAGTGGCAAGAGGGGCAGACGCGCCGGGATATTATGCAGGACAAGGAAAAGGTGCTTCAACCCTCCGCTTCCTAGTATTTGCTCGCAAATGTTGAATCGCTGGAGAACAAAACTGACGAACTGAACGCACGGATCAAGTTTCAGCGCGACATCGAGACCTGCTGCGTTTTAGCGGTCAGAGAGACGTGGCTATCCGGCCGGTGTCTCCATCTACCCCCAGGACAGAACTCTGGACTCTGGTAAGGGCAGGGGCGGTGGGGTATGTGTTATGGTGAACTCTCGATAGGGAACAGATGTAGCCGTTCTACCCAGTCACTGCTCTCCAGATACTGAACTCATAACAGTCAAAGTTCGACCGCTTTTTGCCCAGGGACTTTAGTCATTCTCACCACAGTTTACATCCCACCTCAGGCAGATGTCACGTTTTGTACGAGACTATTAATTGACTTTTTTATTGTGGTCGGGAATTTTAACAGGGCAAACTTGAGGAAGGTTCTGCCCAAATACTACCAGCACATTAAATTTCCCACCCGAACAGACTCTTGACCACTGCTACACTGCACTCAAGGACAGTTACAAACCCCTCCCAAGCCCTGACTTCGGCAAAGCTGATCACACGTCCATTCTTCTCCTGCCTGCATACAAACAAAGACTGAAACAGGCAAAACCAGTTCTCAGATCAGTCTATCAATGGCGTGAGGAGGCCATCTTCACACTTGAATGCACTGACTCAATCACAAGCTACATCAATGAATGCACTGTAGACATTGTACCAAAAATCAATGTCAGAGCATTTCCCAACCAGAAACCCTGTATCAATGCTGAGGTTCAAGCCAAACTAAAAGCTTAGGCTGCTGCCTACAACTCTGGTGACCTGGCTAGCTACAAGAAGGCCAGATATCACCTTTGGAGGACCATCAGGCTGGCCAAAAGGAGCTACAGGGACAGAGTGGAATCTAATTATCTTGGCTCTGATCTCACGTGTGTGGAGTGGACTGCACACTATCACTGACTACAAAGAAGTTGTGATCTGTAATAGGGGCTCTTCCTCCTCACTAGCAGATGAACGTAATGCTCACTATGCTCGTTTTGAGGCAAGTAACACCTCATCTGCTGAGAAGCTCCCAGTGGAAGAGGAGAGCTGCGCTCTAGCCATTCCCCTGTCTGAGGTAGTGAGATCCTTCAGGGCAGTTAACCCACACAAGGCACCCGGTCCCTATGGCGTTCACAGCCGTGTACTTAAAGCATGTTCCAACCAGCTGGCTGAGGTTTTCACTGACATCTTTAACCTTTCTCCTTAAGACTGTCAGTAATTCCCACATGCTTTAAGGATACCACAATTGTTCCAGTCTCCAAGAAATCGGCTATGTACCGCCCTGTTGCACTGACATCAACAGTCATGAAGTGCTTCGAGTGGCTGGTCAAAGCTCACGTTTGCTCAACACTTCCAGCCACCATGGACCCTCACCAATTTGCATACCGCTCCAACAGATCCACAGACTACGCCATTGCACTAACAATACACACTGCTCTCACACACCTGGGCAGAAAGAACACACACGTAAGAATGCTGTTCATAGATTACATCTCAGTATTCAACACAATCATCCCTGCCAAACCCATTTCTAAGCTCACAGACTTGGGTTTGAACTCTCATCTCTGTAACTGGATACTGGACTTCCTGACGAGCAGAGCCCAGGTGGTGAAAGTTGGGGACAGCTTTTCTTTCACACTGACTATGAGCACAGGGCCTCCCCAGCGATGTATACTCAGCCCCCTCTTGTACTTCTGTATACACATGACTGTGTAGCCAAACACACTTCTAACATCATCTTCAAGTTTGCTGATGACAGTACTAGGCCTCATCACTGATGGAGATGAAACAGCCTACAGAGACGAGGTTAGCGCTCTGTCAGAGTGGTGCCATGACAGCAATCTCTCTCTCTGAACATCAGCAAAACAAAGGAGGTGATCGTGGACTTCAGGAAGCTGCAGAGGGTTGGTCACTCTCCCCTATTCTTCAATGGAGCTGAAGTGGAGAGAGTCAGCAGTGTTAAGTTTCTCGGCGTACACCTCACTAATTACCTCACCTCGTCCCTCCACACCAACACTATTGTGAGATCTGCCCGCCAGCGTCTCTTCTTTCTGTGTAGGCTCAGGAAGTTTGGTCTGCCTCCTCAGATCCTCACCAACTTCTATAGATGCACCATAGAGAGCATCCTCACAGGCTGCATCACTGTCTGGTAGAGCAGCTGCACCACCTGCGACCGTAAGGCCCTTAAAGGAGTGGTGAAAACAACAGAAGCTGTCATAGGCAATAAACTTCCAGCTTTACAGGACATCTACCAGTCCCGCTGCCTCAGGAAAATCAAAAAGATCCGGTCAGACAGCAGTCACCCAGCACACAGCCTGTTCACCATTCTGCCATCCGGCCGGAGATTTCACAGCGTTCAGGATAGAACAACCCGGTTAATGAACAGTTTCTACCTACAGGCTGTCAGGCTTCTCTTGAAACTTTAATTTGAAATTTTGGAGTTGCATTTTGAAGTTTTTACCAAGGCACATTCAAGCTGTTCTGGCGGCTCGTGGCTACTCAGCTCCGTACTAAGACGCTTTATATTGTGTTTTCCTTAAAATTGCGACCCCTCTATGTGTTTTCATGATCAGCATAGTGTATTGTTCTTGAAAGTGTGACTAATATCCAGATGTTTTATCCCTAGATGCTGCACAGTGCTTGTGATGTTCAAGTCCATTTGTAGAGAGAATCAAACATGGAAATCATGCTTCAAGCCCCCAAGAATTTCACCAGCAATGTGCAGAGAAAGAAAATTCCTCTTTGTCAACTGGTAGAGGAGACAAGGAGGACTGGCAATGTTTCTCATCACCTTCTTGAAACTAGTACGACTAATTTTTATTTTGAAGGCTAGTCTTACTATTTGTAGATAATTTAAGTAATTGTTTGTCAGTTAGGGTTGTAATGATTTTGTGATACAATATGTATTATGGGTTTTGCATCCCAGCACAATATATTTTTGATACGTTAAAGGAATGCCAGAATTTATTATTTTCTTTTTTTTGTCAACGACCAAAATAAGACTGCAGGATCTGGTGATGATAATGGAATAGAAAAATGGAAACCATTTCAGTTTATTTCAGTATGTCTGATTTCACAAATACAGGGTGATTAAAAACGATTCATCCGATTTCAAAGCGCCATATTTTTACAACCGTGAGGCGCCTAGGAACCAATTACATACCAATTGAAAGAGGGGGTCATAGAGTTTCTGACTATCACTGGAATAAGGCTCCCTTCAGTTTGCGAGGAGATGGCGACCCCTGAGCAGAAAGTGTTTCGCATTCTCCACTTCAGTAAGAGTGAATCCATCATAACTGCAACGTGATTTTCGTCAGCAGTGAACCTCCAACAGCTCAGAGCATTCGTCATTGGTTCCACAACACTGGATGATCTCTGAAATTGCGTTGAAAGAGCCGTGAATACAGTGACACCCAACATGCTCAATCGAGTATGGGATGAATTTTACTATCCTGTTGATGTTGTCCATACAGCTGGAGGAGATCATATTGAGCACTTGTAAAATGACAAAAAAAATTCATGCTCACTTAAACCATTTACAATTTACTGCATTGTTCTGTAATGATTTACAAGTGAAATAAATTATTTTGAAATTGGATAGATCTTTTTGAATCACCCTGTATTATTAGAGCATAAAATCCAACTGCATTACTTTCTCTGTGCATATTGTGTTACACATATCATTACACTCCTAATACTAATAGAGGACTTTAGTTGATATACCCTGTTCTA